TGCAGTGGCTGTGAGTGTGCCACTGCACTCTAGCCTGGGCGACAGAGTGAGACTCCAACTCAAAAAAAAAAAGAAAAGAAAAGAAAAGGCAGTGGGCCAGACAGACCACGTCCTGGCTCTCAGGGAGCTTCTGAGCCAGTAGAAGGAGACAGATGTCACAGAAGTGCCCTGCTAATGTAAGAAAGATAGTTCTAGAAAGCGATACAGCTACAAAGAGTATCTAACAAGAAAGAGGACCAGGGCTGGGGCAGAGTTGGGCGCCATGTGGAAGAGTGCAGGCCAGCTGAGGTGGGTGGTGGGCGGGGACCAACTGAGGGGGAAGAGACCAGCAGCGCCCAATCCTTTATAAAATCGCCTCACATCAGAATGCGCTTGAAGGACAGCTGTTGACTGGCTTCAAGCCAGCAATGCTCTGGGAATCGGCAGTCTGGGAATCACACCAGCACAAACTTTTCAAGTGCATGGCTCTATATCTAGGCTGGAGCCACGACCTCAACTTGAAATTGAACTTCAGAGCTTGGGAGGGCAGAGCCTTCATTTTTATTCCCCAGTTAGTCATTCAACAAATATTCGTTGAGGACCCATTATCTTCCAGTCTTGTTCTAAGTTCTGGTCACATTACAGAGAAGCAGAAAAATCTGGCCAGGTGCGGTGTCTCACACCTGTAATCTCAGCAGTTTGGGAGGCCAAGGTGGGAGGATTACTCAAGCCCAGGAGTTCGAGACCAGCCTGGGCAACACAGCAAGACCTTATCTCTATAAAAAAAAATCAAAAACAAATTAGCTGGGGCTGGTGATATGTCCCAGCGACTTGGGAGGCTGAGACAGAAGGATCACCTGAACCTAGGAAGTTGAGGTTGCAGTGAACCATGATTCTGCCTCTGCACTCCAGCCTGCACAACAGAGTGAGACCCTAACTCAGGACCAAAAAAAAAGTTCCTGCCCTCATAGCATTGAGAAGACAAAACTAAATGCATAAATATAGAGTGTGACGCCAGGTGGTAATAAGTACTTTGAAGAAAAATAGAGTAAGGGAAAGGGAAAGAAGGTGATGGGGCAGGGCTGACTGTTTTAATCACATGAGCAGGAAGCTAGTGGGGTGTGAGGAGTGGTCCGTGCTGGGTCTGAGGGAAGGTGACCTGGGGAGGGAAGAGTGGTGCCAAGGCCCGAAGTGGGAAGAGGCTGGGCTTGTTGAGGGACACCAAGATGAGATGGCCACGTGACTCTGGGAAGGGGCAAGGCGAGTGGGAGGAGGTGGGTCAGAACCACCCACCCAACTGGGTCGTCCAACGGCAACAGCTGAAGGCTCCTGGATGGTACAGCCTTCCACGGCCTCTCATCCCTGCAGCATGTGAGCCGCCATAGATGGCATGCACGTGGTGGCAAGCAGGCTGCATCCAGGCACCCCTTATGAGGGGCACCAACAGCTGCCTTCCATGTCATTGTCATGTCTTGTGAGACACTTTATTTTTTTGAGTTGGAGTCTCATTCTGTCACCCAGACTGGAGTGCAGTGGCACGCTTCCGGCCATTGCAGCCTCGCCCTGCAGGGCTCTGGCCATCCTTCCACCTCAGCCTTCCAAGTAGCCAGAACTACAGGCGTGCGCTACCACACCTGGCTAATTTTTGGTTTATTGTAGAGATGAGGGCTCCCCAAGTTGCCCAGGTGGGTCTCGAACCCGCAGGTTCAGGCAATCCACTCACCTCGACCTCCCAAAGTGCTGGGATTACAGGCTGAGCTACCGAGCCCAGCCAAAACACTTCTTTTGATTGTTTCCAACATTTATAACTGTGAAAACCATTTTTAGCTGATAGGTTTTACCAGGAAAAGCAGCAGCCAGATATGGCCATGGGCCACAGCTCCCAGGCCTTCATGGAAAGTCCTGCAGGCCACTGAGCAGCTGGAGTCTTTTTTCTAATGGCATGGGGGGGTGGGGAGTGTCATTGGAAAGGCTTGAGCAGAGTGCTTTTGGATAAGAATTGCATTTTTCAAAGACCATCTGGCAATGATGTTGAGAATGGATGAGGGGACACGAGAGACCAGCATAGGGCAGTGACATACTCAGGCTTTGGGGGTGCGGACACCCAAGGCTCTCTAGCCGGCCGTGGGGAGCTCCTCTAATTAGGCAGAAGGCTTCTATCCAAGGCACAGCAGACAATTTACCAAACTGACATGTCTCGCCTTTCTGTACTTCAGGAGTGGGAAATGAAGAAGGCCTAGGAGGAGGACAAGGATCTCCCTCCACAGAAATGCCAACCTGAATACATCGGCCGAAATGCTTTCTTCACAAGGAGGTGCCAGGAGAGGCTGGACGTGGCCCCCACTCTCTGGGCAAAAGACCGACACTCACTGTCTGCATGATTTCAGGGGAATCGGGGAGGGGAGAGGGAAATGGAGGGCTTCCTCATGACTTCACAGAGGTGGTCCTGAACTGGGGAGACAGGGATCTGCACAGTGCTACAGGCTTGTTCTATGTCCTGGCCTTCCCTTTCGAAGAAAAGAAAGCTCGTGTGAACATGCCACTCCATCGCACCCTTGATGCCACCCTCACCCTTTAGGCAAGGAAGGCTGGGCTGAAGCAGTATGGAGCAGGTGGAGACAGAGGCGTGACTGTCCATCACATGTGTGCCACCGGATCTATGTTGGGCACCACTGACAAGCTCTAGGGGAGGCAACCAGGGGAGCCGTCGACATCATCCCCGCCTGCGCAAACATGAACAAAAGCTACAGGGAACGTGCAGTCTCCTGTCATTCCTCATCTGCTTCAGGCAGTGCAAGCTACCAGAACCTTCTAGATTTGAGTGTTCTGAAATCAGAGTCCTGGGTGTGCAGAGGGCAAGAAGAGTGCCGCACTGACATGTGCCAAGCCTGCAGTGACATCAGGGACAGGAGCATGGCACTCGAACCTCCACCAGAAGCTGCAGGCTTTGCGGGGGGGTCTCTCTGCCAGTCAAGCCCTCTACCTATTTCATTTGCCATCGAGGATCCTGGGTTCATGGCCAGAGGCTAGGAGGCCCTGTACCTTCGTCCTCATGAAGGCTTCCCTGGCTTCAGAGGCCCACTGGTCTGCCTTTCCTACCTGCTATCAAGTGAAACGATCAGGGAAAACCCTGAGCCTGGTAGCCCCTTCCACCATGTGGGTGCTGAGCATTTTACAGACACTTGATACTGTTCCAGGAGGAGCAAGGAACCCCGTCCCAGGCAGTCTCCTTGTGCACTCACTACTGTCTCAACACTGTGGGCACTTTATGGGTGTCTTGATCACGCTTCCTTCCAATAAAGATGAAGCCACTTGACTCCAGGAGCTCAGCGCTTGGCTCCGGGGGAGAGAAGGGAAACCCCAGCGTAGCCTAGGCACTTGGCTAGAGGGTTCCCACATCTGACCCCACCTCAGGCCTTATGAACTTCAGCCTCACCTGAATCTTACCCCTTTTGAGACGGCCGGAGACCAGACCAGAGCAGAAAAAGCAGCCTGACCCGTGATCACCCCACTGCTCAGTGGCAGAGCACAGGACTCGAGAGATCTGAGTCTGGACCCAGGCAGGGTTGGTCTTGACCCTGCCTCTGCTCCTGACCAGCTGGGTGACCTTGGGAAAGTCATTGACCTCTCTTGATTTCTTGCTTTCCTTATCTGTGAAAACATGGCTGACAACTGTCCCTTGGGAGGATTTAATGAGGATCTAATTTAATACAGGTCACACAGGGCCCCGTGCTTAGCAGGACCCTGGCCTGGGTTTAATACTCTACTCATTGCTGCCTTAATAATTTCTGAACAAGGGATTCTTCATTTTCCTGTATTTCCTTTGTGCAGCCAGTGCTGGTGACCACTAATCCCCACCGAGGCTTTATCCCTTTGGCCTTCACTAAAACCCTTAAATGGGTTCTATTATCCCCATTTTCACCATGCGGGAAATAGAAGCCCAGAGAAGCTGGGTGACTAACCCAAGCTCACATACACAAGAAGTGGTGGAGCCAACACCTGAATACAGAAGTCAGACCCTAGAGCTCTTAATCCTTTTTTTTTTTTTTTTTT